TCTTTCCTGTCTTGTGAGATAGGCAGCCAAGTACATCCTTTTGTATCTACACTCAAAAGGAAACTTCACACCACCTTCTTATTGATGGTCCAGGTTGTAAAAAGTTACAAGGCATAGATTGCATACAGTATCTAGATGCAATTGTGAGTTGCTAGAATGGGAGTAGCACAAAGCAAAGAGATTTAAATGCCTATCTATTCTAGAAATGCTTGGACAGTCCTGGGCCAGGAACTAAGAGACCCTGGGTTAGTGATTCTATTGTTTCAAGCAGAAGTGTCTCGTGTGTGTGTGTGTATGTGTGTGTGTGTGTGTGTGTGTGTGTAAGAGAGAGAAAACGCATATAAGAACTATAATCCTGCAGATACTCCAGGAATCTGCAACCTACCTGAAAGCATCATTTTGATGTAGGAGCAGTGTTTTCTAAACTTGGCAACTTTAAGAGGTATGGACTTCAACTCCCAGAATTCTCCAGCCTGGCCTCTTTCTGGGACTTCAAGTCTATACATCTTAAAAGTTGTCACGTTTGAAAAAACTGCTGTAAACCAACTAAAATAACCCCAAGGATAGAGAGGGCAAAGCAAGAAAAGTGGGAAAATCTAAAAGATTCACGTTTCCACAGTTACAAGCGTTACGATTCCTCTACGTTTTACAAAGCAACTTAGTCCTTGCTCAAAAGGGTTAAGAAAAGTTAAGAACCTGGCTCTGTATCAATAAACTGTGATGTACCCGCGTGGGGTAAATATAATTCAAGTTGATATTTGATGCAGTAACTGGAGAACCCGAAAAGGCATTTCTTGAGAGTTTAAATTATTATTGTCTTCATGCCATTTCCACAGCAAGAAGTCTGAATGCCTGAAATCCAAGTAATAGTTCTGCCTAGCATGATTATTAAATAAAATATTGCTCAACAGGCTTATCATTTGCTCAGCCGGCAAAATGAAACATCAATAAGGTTCAAATACAGCTTAAAGCTGGAGTTAACAGCAGGGGCAGTCATTCGTACTCTCCTACCCTATCCCATTCTTTCTTTCTTATGGTCATTTATTCCTAAAGCAGGTTATCTGAGGTGGCACGATTTTTTGTTTTTTAAGGAACCAGCTCCCTTTTATGTTTTAGCCAGTTTTATGGCTATCCTTCCCCATCCTCTCAATTTTTCCTATAGTCTAGCAGATGGTTGGGATACAAATAAGACCCTGCATTTGAAAAAAAAAAAAAAAACCAGTGTTTCAGCTCAACCCTCTTTAAAGTGTGCACGAAAGCATATTTATAAATGCACAAAGAGAATTTCTTTTAGCACAAAGTCCTATTTTACATTCCAGGATCCCTTTAAACACTGTACTCTTCTCATACTCCGTTTTCCCCCCTCTATCATTAACTGCAACTTCGAAATAGATCTTTAAAATACCAGACTCAATACAAATTATAATATGATTCCAGTTAATTACAAGCCAGCTCTTTTGGAACAAGAGCAAACAGCACCCTATAAACAATGCATCCAGTGTACTGAGTAACAGCTGCTCAACATACATAGTAACTATCAGCAATTAGGGACATTCTCATCCATCATCAGTTTTCACCAAAATTGTCTCTAGATTATCTTGTCAGAATGGCTTGGCTTCATACTGAATGGACCACCTCAAAGCATCTGCCCTCAAACTACTCGCAGGAGAACATGAAATAGAAAATGAGGGGGTTCTACTTAGGTCACACTAGAGATTAAATCGAGGGAAAGGGAGTTAAAGGACATGGGATTTTTTTTCCCACTTTGCTCATTCTTTCCACTGAGGGAAAAACTGTTCCTGTGGGGTGGAATAAATATTTATCTACTGAATTGATATATTTATAGTGGAAGATTCAAACAAATTCAACTAAAGCAGCGCCTCTCCATTATTTAAATGCTTGTGTCCATATTTTTAGGCAAAATAATTATCTCTATTAAATTCACCATCATTTCTTCATTAATCTGAAGAAATTTAAGGACTCAGAAAGAGTTCACATATGTTTTTAAAACAACTAATACACTAATACTAAAGAGAAACCAAATAATTTTCTAGGCTTTCTAATACAGAGGTGCACATACACATATAATTCCTAAAGGCATCACCCAAGCATTTAGTGGAATTATTTCCCCCAAATAAATAACTTCACAAAGTGAAGTCCCCCCCCCTGGTCATTTTGATAGACCTCAACCTTAAAGCTCTTTGAGGAAGAAATAGGAATCCGTTCTTTGTATGTTTCATTGGGTTTCCTTCTAAAATCAAGAAGCTTTCTCAGGACTTAAGGAAGTTACAGGATGAAATTATAGCCTGTGGATCCCAAATTAACTCCGGTTGTATATTAGAATTAAGTCCCTTTAAAGTTCAAAGTTCTTCTCCAGAGGGAAAAATAAATGTGCATTTGGGCTGCAGCTGAAAACAGCAGAAGCCGGCTGAAGTCAGGGGATCAACTCAAATGAACAGCCCAGTCTGAGGACCAGGGTACCAAATCCAGGCAATGGCAAAGTTACCAGCCAAGAGGGACAGAAAACACTTTGTGGCCACCTAGTGGTCATCTGGATTTTTGCAGCCCAGTTTTACCTGAAATATGCTATTTTGCAAACCAAAATCTCTCTACAGTACTGTCAAATAAAATGCCTCCTAATAATCAGTGCTTCTGTCTACTACGGTCTATAGTTTGTTTTCCTTGAAGGAAAGGAAAAGTAGCAGAATTAATTCTCCTGGCATTTTTCATATACCTTTAACCAGGACAATTCCTACCCTTTAGCTACACAACACAAACAGATCCTGAGAAAAACCAGGCCCTTCCTTGCCTGGTTTTGAACATACAGTATTTTTTAGAATAGAATAGAATAGAATAGAATAGAATAGAATAGAATAGAATAGAATAGAATAGAATTCTTTATTGGCCAAGTGTGATTGGACACACAAGGAATTTGTCTTTGGTGCATAAACTCTCAGTGTACATAAAAGACAAGATACATTCATCAAGAATCATAAGGTACAACACTTAATGATAGTCATAGGGTATAAATTTTTAAGAAGTTGTGATTTTTCACAACAGTCAGGGCATTATTTCTCACTACTTGACTTACAGGACCTGGTTTAAAAAAAATACCAGACTCCCACAAGTCAATGGTCACAGTGCTGGATTAACCCTGGATTAATCTGGATATCAGAAGAATTTTATTTCTCTTTCCTTTAATAATGATGATGATGATGATGATGATGATGATAATTATTATTATTATTATTATTATTATTATTATTATTCCTCATTGTTAACCTTACACGGTTATTAAATCAGCTTTAGCGAGAATGTAGTGGCTTAGAGGCCAATGGGACACATCTTTGATAAATAATAGACAGCAGGAAAAAATCCTCTGGAATTTAGGCCAAGCTTGGCTAACTCCCCAAATTGGAAGAAGTGAAACGACCCGGTTTTAATGTTCCCACTCAAATGCCCGCAGCATCGAGTCAGGCCGAAGCAGACCTCCAAAGACACACCCCCAGTCGTCCAAAACTCGCCCCCTCCCCCCAATCCATCCATCCATCCAGAGACCAGATTCAGCAAAAAGGGAAAGTTTGCTTCCCATCCAGTTCACCGCCTGCCTTTCCAAACTCCACTTCGCGCAACTTAACCTTACCTGCCAAGGAACCTCGCGGAAACTTCTCAACCAAAGTCGGAGCAGGATCGGGCTTCGGGAAGCCAAAGCTCTCCCGACCCCGCCGCTTCTCCGTGGTTTTTTTTTTTTTTGGGGGGGGGGGGAGACACCGACCCCTTGGCGCCGTCCCCCGCGGTCCCCTCCGCGCTGGCAGCCAGTCCATAGCCCTCCTTCTCCCGGATCCCAGAAACCTTGAAGCGCGCGCTCCTTTCCTTTCCCCCCCCCCCCCCCATCTTCCTCATCCTAGGTTCAAGAACTGCGGGAAGCGTCGCCTCCGCGGCACCGGCCACAAGAAGCCGCGGGCTGCAGCGCCACGTCCTGCGGAGCTTTGCCCGAACCGGGGAAGCAAGAAGGGGAAGCCGCCGGGACAAGGAACGCTCGAAGCACTTTCTCCCTTTTCCTTTCATCTCTCTCTCTCTTCCTTCCATCCATCCATCCATCCATCCATCTATCCATCCATCCATCCATCCATCTATCTATCCATCCATCCATCTATCCATCCATTTATCATGTATCTATCTATCTTCTCTATCATATCTATTTTCTCTCTCTGTATCTATCTATCTCTGTATTTATCTATCTATCTATATTCTCTCTCTCTCTCTCTCTCTCTCTCTCTCTCTGTGTGTGTGTGTGTGTGTGTGTGTGTATCTAACTATCTATCTTTCTCTCACTGTATCTATCTTCTCTATCTTCTCTCTGTATCTATCTATCTATCTATCTATCTATCTATCTTTCTCTCTGTGTGTGTATCTATCTATCTATCTTTCTCTCACTGTATCTATCTATCTTCTCTATCATATCTATCTTCTCTCTGTGTGTATCTATCTATCTATCTATCTATCTATCTATCTATCTATCTATCTATCTATCTATCTATCTATCCTTCTTTCTTTCTCTGTGTGTATCTACCTATCTATCTCTCACTGTATCTATCTTCTCTATCATATCTATCTTCTCTCTGTATCTATCTATCCATCCATCCATCCATCTATCTATCTATCTTCTCTCTCTTCCGCCACCCCCCCACCCTCCGCAAAGCTGTTCTCAAAGTCCGAGGCGCCGCTGAAAGAATCCAGAATCCAGGCGAGGCATAGGATGGGGATGGGAGCGGGAACGAAGCGGGGGGGGGGTGGGAGATGGTGCCCGGGAAGCTCAGGAAAACTTTCCCGACCGGGGAAAGGAAAGCAGCGCCTTCCCTTCCCCTCCTTCGAACCGACTTTGTGGAACGAAAGCATCGGCGAGAAGCGGGGCGCGAGCAAAACAGGACGCGCGTGTTTTTTGTTTGTTTGTTTCCACCACCACCACCAGCAGCTGGGCCGAGATGCGCTTAATTTACCTGCGTGGCAAAGTCCCAGGTTGCCAAGGGCTAGCAGAAGCAGGGCGATCACCCCGGGGCCAGACGCTCCTCGGCTCCAGGCAGAAGGCATCGCGCCCGGCTAAGGCGACGGTGGTGGCAGCGGTGGCGGCGGCGACGACGACGACGGCGGCGCCTCCCTCGCTCTTCCTCTCGCCGGTCTCCAGAGACGCCCTCCTCTCCGAAGGAGCCTCCAGCCTCCCCACGCGAAGCCGCCCCCCCCTTCCCCCGCGCCTCTTCTTCTTCTTCCTCCTCCTCCTCCTCCTCCAGCAACTTTGGAGGCAGCAAAGCAGCGGGAGGCGAGTTAGGGCAGCGGGGTCCCTTGGCCGCCGGATCGCTCCCTCGGTGCCAAGGCTGCGGCGCTCCTCTTCACTCTGCCCAACTCGGGACCCGCAGCGAAGCCGGGCGGGATCAGAGAGGCAGGCGAGGCTGCCGGACGGTTTGCATCCCTGCAAAGCGAGGCTTTCCCCCTTCCTTCGTTTTGGAGCCGGACCCGCCGAGGCTCTTGTCAGCGAGCCGCTTCCTTGCCTCCGATCGCCAGCCAGCCTCCTGCCACACTGCCCAAGGTGTCCCGCACGCAGAAGCAACCCAGGAGCCAGGAGAACTGGAGAACTCGGGGCTCCGCTGGGGAGGACCGAGACGGGCGGAGCAGAGCGAAAGGAGGGAGTGGGGGGTGGGGGACGGGGGACGGGAGGGAGTTCCCGACGGCCTACGCAACTACAGGGCTCGGGCTGGGAGGAAAACGTGGCGGCGTTAGCCCGCTTCCTGATCTTCGGAGCTGGAGTCTCTCGCCGCGCTGGTTTGACGATCGTCGAGCGATCCGACCGCCCTTCCTTGCGTGTCGTTGCTTGGACGCTGCGTTAACGCACCTGGGCTTTTAGGAAATTGTGCCGAATAGAGGGCAAATCCAATAAGTCTTTTGGCCTCTCTCTCTCTCTCTTCCCAAAGCAGGAATAGAATAGAGCTGGAAGGGACCTTGGAAGGGTCTTACTTACTTACTAATTAATTAATTAATCCATTAATTAATCCATTAATTAATCCATTAATTAATTAATTAATTAATGGAACTTGTATGCCGCCCTATCTCCAATGGCCTCGGGGCGGCTCACAACAATTAAAGCAAAAGAAACAAACCATTAAAACGAAAATCCAGGTTAAAATTAACAAAAATTCAATAAAAACCCAGTTAAAATTCTATTAAAACCCCCCACATCCGTCCAGGGCGGCCAGGTGAAATAGCCACGTTTTCAGGCCGTGGCGGAAAGAGCGAAGGTCGCGGGGGGCCACCCGGAGCTCCAGAGGGAGTTAACGTTGCGGTTTGGAATATTCCTTAGAACAGATTTTGGAGATGTACTTTTCAATTATATTATGGCGGGGGGGGGGTGTGTGTAAAAGAGAGGGGGGGTATTTGATATTTATAAATTTCTGTGGAATGGCACCTTTTTCTTGGATAAAGTCTTGAAGAATTCTTACTTACACTACAAGCCTACCTTCGTATTATATTCTTCACCACTGAAATGGAACAGTGTTAAAATCAAACATGGAACGCTATCCTTTTAATATTCCATTACTTTGTAAAACAATCACCTTTCCCAATTAAATTGCTTTGGGACCAAGCAGAAGCAACTGTGCTGTACGAAAATGACATTAGACAGATTAACAGAGGTGGAAGGGACCTTGTAGATCTTCTAGTCCAACCCCACCCCTACCTCCACCCGCCAGAGAGAAGCAACCTAGAGCTAAGGAGAAATTTCTTGACGGTGAGAACAATCAACCAGTGAATAGCTTGTCCTCAGAGGTTGTGGGTGCTCCATCACCCACAACCTCTGGCAGCTTTTAAGAAGAGACTGGACAACCATTTGTCTTGTGTGATATAGGTTCTCCTGCTTGACCAGGGAGGTTGGACTAGAAGACCTTCAAGATCCCTTTCAACTCTGATGATGTTCTGTTCTAAATGTGCACAAGACAGAGGAGCTTTACTTTAACAGAATAACACAACATCAGAGTTGGAAGGTACCTTGTAGGTTATCGTCCAACCCCTCCCGCCGCCACCCAAGCAGGAGACCCTACACCATTTCTGACAGATGGCTGTCCAGTCTCTTCTTGAAAGCTTCCAGTGATGGAGCTCCCACAACTTCTGAAGGCAACTTCTGTTCCATGGGTTGATTGCTCTCACTGTCAGAAAATTTCTCCTTATTTCTAGGTTGAATCTCTCCTTGATCAGTTTCCATCCATTATTCCTTGTCCGGCCTTCGGGTGCTTTGGAAAATAGCTTGACCCCTTCCTCTCTGTGGCAACTCCTCAAATATTGGAATACTGCCATCATGTCTCCCCTGGTCCTTCTCTTCACTAGACAAGCCATGCCCAGTTCCTGTAACCGTTCTCGATATGTTTTAGCCTCCAATCCCTTAATCATCCTGGTTGTTCTTCTCTGCACTTTTTCTAGAGTCTTAACATCTTTTTTATATCATGGCGACCAAAACTGGATGCAGTATTCTAGGTGTGGTCTTACGAAGGCTTTATAGAGTGGTGTTAGTACTTCACTTGATTTTGATTGTATGCCTCTGTTAATGCAGTTTAGGATTGCATTGGCTTTTTTGGCTGCCGCTGCACACCACTGGCTCATATTTAATTGGTTGTCCACTAAGACTCCAAGATCCCTCTCACATACTGCTATTATTATTATTATTATTATTATTATTATTATTATTATTATTATTATTTCAATTTATATACCGCCCTTCTCCTATTGGACTCAGGGCGGTGCACAGCCAAGGATAAAAAACATACCAATACAAAATTTAAAATCAATTAAAAGAATTATACAGCTTTGGCCCACAATTTAAAACAATCCAATTAAAACCAAATTTACACTTAAAAAGCTAAAAAGAGCTAAAAAAGAGCTAAAAAGGGGGGGGGGGTTGTTTCACGCCAGCCCTGCTTGATGGAAAAGAAAAGTTTTTAGGGCACGGCGAAAGGCCCGGAGATCTGGTATCCTTCGTATCTCCGGGGGCAAATCGTTCCAGGCCTGGTTTCACAGAGTCTATATGTGTATTTTTGATTTTTCTTGCCTAAGTGTAAGACTTTACTTTTCTGTACATTGAATTTCATTTTCTCAGATCGGGTTCAAGTCTGTCAAGATCCAGCCTATCATCTAGGGTGTTGGCTATTCTTGCCGGCTTACTCTCATCCACATTTTTCTAGAGTATCTGGAAAGAATGTCCAGGAAAAAGCCATCTGTGATTTGAGGTTATGATTAAAGAGAACTTGTGGGCCATGGTCATTTCTACAGTCTTTGTAGTAAATGGATGTTCTAGTATGCCAGGTGCTTCCTTTAATCTAATTTAGCTTCTAATAAATATATTAAACTCATTTGCCCTGATCCTATGCTTGCCTAGGGACAGCTACTCCTTTTTTGTAGGCACATGCCCACAAACTCAAGTTAGGATTTGCTGACGTTTATCTGCAATTTATTGATTTATTGCCAAAGCCAAACGGAGAATCAGATGGGTTTTAAACAATGGCTATTGGACATATTTTATTTATATATGCAGTGAATTAGCTTTCTCTCTGACTTCAAGGGAGCAAAAACCATCAGAAATCAGATGGAATTTCCGATTCTGGCCTCCGTAGATGGACATGATTCTTCTACAATGACTTCAAGGTGGTGTTTCACGAAACAACACAGAACACTTTTCTTCTAAGATCTGCAATGGGGAAAGGATGAAATGGGAACGAGCTATGAGCTTCCTTCATAAAATCAGAACCATAGACACATTTGCAATTATTGTGGAGAATTACAATCTGTTCCAGAGCTGTGTGACCCTCAGCTCTGGGACCAAAAATTGTCTATGCCTAGACAATTTTTGTCTAGGCATTGGGGGTTGGCAACCTTAAACCCCCAAAGAGCCCCAAAGATCCTAACTGGAAGCCCCCCTTTCAATTCTGGAGCCGACCGGAAGTCCAGTTCCCCGACCATAGAGTCTCCTCCTAGTGCGGTGTCCTTTTTCTTCTACCTGTCCTAACCAAAAGCCTTCTCAATTGTGGAGCTGACCGGAAAACCCGCCCCTTGCCATAGAGTCTCCTCCTGGCGCACTGTGCTTTCCCCCCCCCAAACCAGAGGCTCCTCTCAAAATTGTGGCGCCGACCAGCGATAGGGAGCCGCAGCAGAGGGATGAAAGAGCCACATGCGGCTCCAGAGCCACGGGTTGCTGACACCTTGCCTAGACAATGGACCACATCTATTGTGCCTTTTTAGATAGGCCTTGAAATGTTGATGATGAACAGAAGGGGGGAAAAAGTTCCTTTGATTTTTTTCCCCCCACATCCAGAGGAGATCATCCACTTCGGGCATGAAGTATAAACTTCCAAGATGGCAACATTGGTGGAATGCAAGTATTGCTGCTCTCTGAGTTTTAATCTCAAAGAGTTGGAAAAGTGTTCTCATTTGGATATAGGAGAGTTTTTTCGCTTCATTAAACTAGCATGCAGCTGTTAAAGATGCTGAGCTTGTCAGCTGGAAAGCTGAAAGCCCGGGGTTCAAGAACCGAGCAGTGTGTGATGGGGTGAGTTCATGTTATTTGCCCCAGTTCCTGCCCACCTAGCCATTCAAAAGCATTTAAATGTGAGTAGATAAATAGGCACCACTTCGGTGGGATAGGAAAGTAACAATGTTCTGTGCGCCTCGGCATATAGTCATGCTGGCAGCATGACCACGGAAGTGTCTTCAGACAACGCTGGCTCCCTCAGCTAAGAAACAGAGATAAGCATTGTGTGAAGTTTCTGAAAGATGCCCTAGTTAATTCATGAGCTCCCTAGAATGGGACACAATTGGACAAGGGAAACCTTTATGCTTATCTTCTTACATTTATCTTCACATATAGATCATCTAGAACTCAACTTGGTGTCAAACTCAAGGCCCGCAGGCCAGATCCAGCCAGCAGGGTGGTTAGATCTGACTCACAGGGCCGCCCTGGAATCAGCGAAGGATTGGCCCGCGGTGCCTCTGCCAGCAAAAAAGGAGCCTGGGAGGGCTGCACGCAGTCCGCCCCCCGGGCTCAATTTTCGCTGGCAGTGGGCTGCAGGAGGCCGTCGCAGATGAAAATGGAGCAAGTGACATTGAGCTGGTCACGCCTCTCCTGGCCACGCCCCCTGCCAGTGATGGTATTCAGACGGTTCTATCTGGATTGGGCGAACCGGTAGCCACGGCTGTGGGAAGCTCCGCCCACCCACCCACCCAGACGTCATCACATCCTGTTTTTGATGCTCTGCACATGTGCGAAAGGCCCTGCGCATGCGCAGAGGTGGCGTGTGCTCACATTTGTGAACCGGTACAAAAGGTAAGCAAATACCACCCTTGCCACCCCCCCAAGGTCAAACACAACCCTGATGTGGCCCTCAATGAAATTGAGTTTGTCACTCCTGATCTAGAACAAATAACCAGAAAACTCTTTTTATGTTGACCCAAATAAAGGTTATGGAGAGTTCAATTTAATTCCTGGTGACTATTTGCCTATATTCATCAGTCCTACTATTTTATTTTTTTTATTAGTACAGAAGCCATGGTGGCGCAGTGGTTAGAATGCAGTATTGCAAGCAAACTCTGCCCACTGAGAGGTGTTCGATCCTCACTGGCTCA